TATTATTATTATTATTATTAATAATGTATTGTATTTATATTCCTCCCTTCTCACCATGAAGGGGTCTGAGAGTGGACCACAGAACACATATATGGCAAATGTATTTAAGAAAGAATCACAAGTGCAATTTCATTCCTTTGCACCCATAAATGGGAGTTAAACCCCTTGATAGCTATGGGACTCACCTCTGAGTAGATCGATGAGCCCAGCTCCATACTTATGATCATCCAGTGTAAGCCAGACTTAAAAGTATTTAATTCTTGATCCTCAATAACAGAGGCATAACTATATTGTGGAGAGCTAATGCGATGCAGAGATTTGAACACTGGTCTATGTCTCTGGAGGTCAGGGTTTCCTTATCTGCCTGGTCATGGATACTCACTGGATGATCTCACACTCTCAGATCCAGAAAATGGCATGATAGGTTCACCTTAAGATCACCAAAAGTCAGAAACACCTTGAAGGCACCCAACAACAAAACTATATTGGGAATGATATAGTGACAAGACCACTTCTGTGCCGTGTGATTGTTATTTTGCAGTTTAGTTACTTGTATAGTTACATAGGTCACTCAATTAAATTATAACAGAGGACAGTCATGCTTATATAGTGTAGCTGACCAATCTAGTGTAGGAGGAAAATCACATCTTTTAAATAAAATCACATGGTTTAAATACTAAAGCAATCTAACATGGGTGAATGTGACAGATCTTATCCCATGTTAAATTAAGCACATTTTGCCATTTCCATGTGGCTTTTAATGTCACGTGATGGGCTCTGTGGGACTCTGTCTGTAAGCTGTTTTTGAAGTGTGTAGAAATGGGTGGGAGGGGAGAATGAGATGATGAGATCTTTAAAGTGCTAAACATTTCCACTTGTAAAGGGAAGTCAAATGGATTACAGTCTTGAGCTCACTAAGGGCTGATAAACAGTGTTAGTTCTTTCCTACTAATTAGGCATATTGATCCAATAGCCATTTGGAGCCAATGTTGCTGGTAGATTTACAAACCCAAAATGTGAGTAAATATTTATAGTCAGACATGCTGGGATGTCTGACTATAAATAAAAACAGGTAGACAGAAACAAAAAAAAAGTTAAAGAAAGGGGGTTTTGTTAAAAAGTTAAGACATCAATCACTCCTCTAATTTTTAGAGAAAAGAACGTGTTTTCAGTAGATTATACCAGACAATACATGTATTAGAGAAGGAGAAGACAACTAAAGTGGTAATGATTTCAGTGGGCTAGAGAGTGGGCTAGTTGTGTGTCTGTAAAATTTTCAGCCAGATCCCACATCACTTCAGTGTAGCATAAATATCTCCAGGCACAATACATAGGCTTGCATTATCCAACTGAATGCCAACGTAGTGCAACAACATATGGATAAGTGCCCAATGTATATGGCTGAGATCCCCTAACATTATTGCATTGTTCAATGCGCATTTGTGAAGTATTCCTTATAGTTTAATGCACTAATGCATGCTCAATGATTCCAGAGGCAGAACTCCATTTATACCACCCTCAGCTGGGCATGACGGCTGTGTATTCACTTCATTGTTACTAGCTGCTAAATATTGTCTTCACTATCGCTAATAAGGTTGATAAATTGCAAGTGAATCATAGCTGAGGGTCACAAGAAAATTTATATCTACAAAACAATTAAAATATTTTAAAAATCATCAAGATAGTATCTTAATTGAAAGAAAAATGATAAAATAGAACAATAGCTTCACAGATTGCTGTTCAGTTGAAGAAACAGAATTGCAGAGGGCATTTGAGAGCATGACAAAAGAAATACCACTTCCTGAATACACCCAATAATGTCTGGGTTTTTCTTGGAAACTAATGAGAACGAGTTTTGATTAGTGCTTTAATGAATCCAGATATATAAATATTAGGCATGGGTAGTCATTATCTTCTAAAATCATTATTATTTTGGAAAAAATTACCTTTTGAAGCGATATCGAGCCATGCAGGAGGAGTAATTCCAAATTTAAACCACTTACCCATTGTTTGGAATTATTTTCGGATGTCTCCCACAGTTATTTTGATTTTTAGAACAATTAAGCAACTTTGGCAAAGCCTCACGGTTTCCATTCTTGAAGGCCACGTTTTAACATCTCACAGTTTCCCTTCACTGTTAGTTTTAAAATCTTGCGGTTTCTCTTCCCTGGCTGGCAGTGAACATGGCGCTGAAGAGGGATGAGGTGGGCGTGCTAAGCACAGCTCTTCTTGAAGGCCACGCCCCCAGTGGCCTTCAGGAAGAGCTGTCACTTAGCCAAGCCCACCTCGTCCCTCTTCATCTCTGCCAGGGAAAGGAAACTGCGGGATTTTAAAACTGCTTAAAATCTTGCAGTTTCCCTTCCCTGGCAGCAAGCTGCCATGCAGAGGGACTAGGTGGGCGTGGCTAAGCACAGCTCTCCTTGAAGTCGGTGGGGGCGTGGTCTTCAAGGAGAGCTGTGCTTAGCCACGCCCACCTCGTCCCTCTGCATGGCAGCTCGCCACCAGGGAAGGGAAACTGAGATTTTAAAACTGAACAATGGCTTCAAACTACAAGAAAGGAGATTCTATCTGAACATGAACTTCCTGACTGTGAGAGCTGTTCAGCAGTGGAACTCTCTGCCCTGGAGTGTGGTGGAGGCTCTTTCTTTGGATGCTTTTAAACAGAGGCTGGATGGCCATCTGTTGGGGGTGCTTTGAATGCAATTTTTCTGCTTCTTGGCAGGGGGATGGCCCATGAGGTCTTTTCCAACTCTGTGATTCTATGATTGACAGGGAGGGCTAAAAAAATCTTATCTGAAACGTTGGGTATGCTGATGCTAGTCAAAGTTGACCATTCTGAGCAAGATGAACCAATATGATGACACAGTAGAAGGCAACTTCTTATGTCCGTTAGGAGCTCCCAGTGGCACAGTGGGTTAAACCCTTGTGCCAGCAGGATTGAAGACCGACAGGTTGTAGGTTCGAATCCGGGGAAAGCGTGGATGAGCTCTCTCTGTCAGGTCCAGCTCCCCCTGCGGGGACATGAGAGAAGCCTCCCACAAGGATGGTAAAACATCAAAAACATCCAGGCATCCCCTGTGCAATGTCCTTGCAGATGGCCAATTCTCTCACACCAAAAGTGACTTGCAGTTTCTCAAGTCGCTCCTGACACAAAAAAAGTCCCTGTTACATTTCCATGTATCAGTGTATTTCCATGCATGTAGAAAGTTCGTGTCTCTTCATCCTGGCATGCATTTAATTTGCTTGAGCTTTATGCTGGTGATTGCCCATCCATCTGATCTAACTGTTATACCTATGGTACTGAAAGGGAGAATAAAACCAGCAGCCAAATACAAATCCATTCTGCTGGAACTTAGCTACTGCCGAACTTCTTTTCGCCTTCTTCTCTGCCTCTTCCTTTTCCCTTGTGTGTGCCATGTTTTATTTAGATGGCAAGCCTCAGGGAAGGAAGCATCAATTGACTATTTGAAAGCCACTTTGGGAGTCTTGTTGGCTAAAGGGCGCAGAAGCAAAACTACAAATAAATAAATAATGAATATATGTAGAAATAAAACTAATGGGCCTCAAATGTTTCAGTTGTTTTCTTGTTGTCTTAAAAGGAGCTTTTGTGTCCTCAGTCCAAATGCAGGTGATCAGGCAATTGCTACTGGGAAAATCTCTCATGCAATTAACTAAGTAAGGGCATTAAAATGTTTTGATTCATTTCCTCCAAAGTTTCCTTGGAAACTGTTTTGAAGCTGTCCATTAGTCTCTCATAGACTGGCTCTACACTGTAATACAGTTTGACACCACTTTGTGATAGCTCAATACTATGGAATCCTAGAGGTTGTATTTTGGTAAGGCATCAACACTCCTTGGCTTGTAAATCTATCATTCCCACGATTTAATATAGGGGTCCTCAAACTAAGGTTCGGGGGCCAGATACGGCCCCCCAAGGTCATTTACCCGGCCCTCGCCCAGGGTCAACCTAAGTTTGAAACGACTTGAAAACACAGAGCAACAATTCTATCTCATAAGCCAAAAGGAGACTCACATTTCCCATTGAAATACTAATAAGTTTATATTTGTTAAAATTGTTCTTCATTTTAATTATTGTATTGCTTTTAAGTGTTTTTTTGTACTATAAATAAGATATGTGCAGTGTGCATAGGAATTCAGTAATGTTTTTTTTCAAATTATAATCCGGCCCTCCAACAGATTGAGGGACTGTGACCTGGCCCTCTGTTTAAAAAGTTTGAGGACCTCTGATTTAATAGCATTGAGTTAAAATGGTGTCAAAACTGCATTAATTCTACAGTGTAGATACACTCTGTGTTAAAGCAATGTGAACGAGAAAATGATGGTTTAAGGTACACAGATCTTTAGTTCTTGAGCCTAATACATAATACATCACCTCCAGATTTGTTTTCCTTCAATTTAACTTTTATTAAAAGAGGTTCTAAGATACTGTACTGTTTCCAGTACATGATATTTATTACCAAAATTATTAACAAATATACAAAACTTATATATGGAATATTTATTACATCCATTTATTCCTCTATAATACTGCATTTGTTCAAGTAGATTACCTACAGTGTAAACTTCCCTCAGTTTGATCTCATATCCTTGGGAAAGCCCCTCTGACCCCTTATCAATATCAGTGTTATTGGATTTTAAGGAACTCTATTTGGCTTTGATTGGTAGCATCTGGTTTTCACATTTGGCACATAGAAGAAAAATCTACAGTGCAAAAAGAGGCATTTTTTCTGGTTTAAATTGGAACCATACTTTTGAGAGCTGAGGAAAGAGGTTCAATTTGCATCAATATACTAGTATTAATGAATATAACACACAGGTCAGGTATTACTTGACTGAGTGCAACTCAGTGCTTTTCCTTCAGTCCTCGCATGTGCACCAATAAAATAATTTTGCTAAGCAAGGTGGCAAAAAGTCAGTCCCTCCAGAAGGGCTATAGGCCTCTTGCTGGTGATTGAACCCCTGGTTTCATGTTTTTGTTGTTGTTCCATTTTATGCCGCCTTGAATTTGCCAACATACAATTATTTTTCAAACAGAGACAAGAAAGGAGGGTATCATCCATGTTGGGGAAGGCTTTCTGCAGACAATTTCCTTGCAAACTGAAAATTATGGGTCGTGGCCCCCAATTGTAAGAAACTTATTAAGATGTTGTGTATGTGTGTATTGACAAAGAAGAAGAAAAGATCAGCAAAAGATGATAATGGCACTCTAAGTCCAGGAGTGATGGGTTCAAGTGTAGCCATTAAAAACAAACAAAACTAAATCCACACCCAGGAAATAACTTCCCCCACCCCTTTTCTGTTTGTCACCGTTTACAAATGTAGATTAATGTAACTGAGTAAAGCTGATCCAGAGAGAGCATTCATTTATCCGCACTCCACTTCTGCATTCTCCCTCAAGCACCGTATTGCTATTTGTTGGAGGCCACCTCATCCCAGTCCCCCGAGCTGATGAGAACCAATTCGGAATGGCCGCTGCACCTGAGCACTCTTAGTACCCGGCCTTTTCTTTCTTGGTTACCAAAGCGCCCCACTCCCTTCTGTGGCGCCATACATTTCAGCCAGCTTTTTAAAACGTGGCCCCCAGTCTGTCAGATAGTCATAGCTCTGCTCAGAGTCCGTGGTCACGGATTGTAAGGAACTGAGAGACTCAGCCACTGAGCCATTCCCCTCAAACATATATGTCTGGAGTGAGTCAAAGGGAGGAGCCCAGAGGTCCATGTCTGCTTCGTAGAGCTTGGCCAACACATAGCTATGGACACTGCTATCCATTGTGCAGGCCTGAGGCACGTATCTGGAAAGGCTCTCAATTTCTGGCATCATGTCCTGTCTGTTCTTCATCACCACTTGGGCCTCTCTAGGGTTCCATAGGGCAGCAATGTCAAAAGCCTCTGTATCTTCCTCGCCGCCTCCCTCATCATCGTAGCGGACAATATTTTCATGGATATTCTCCTCTTCATCTATAATGTAAGGCTTCTTCCTGTGTCTTCTCATGGATAAGATCAGCAGCACCAACACTGTTGGAAGTAAAAAAAAAACAAAACAAAGAGTTTTTTTAAAATAAATAAATAAATAAAAGAGCCTTCTCCTCCCCAGTCAATGCCACCGAGTCTTTCAGTCAAAGGACTGGCTCTGAAGAATGTCAGGATTGATGGGCTGGTGAATGCAATGCATTTTTGCAGGTTTTAACCTGGCAACAGCAGCTCCCTGTTTCTGTGCTGTGAAGAGTGAGTGCTGGATAGTTACATTCACAGCTTGGGAAATTACTTTTTACAAATTAGAAATGATATAGGTTTACATTTTAGTTCTGAACAGAACAATCAGTGGGAACTTGAGAGGGTCAACACAAATGATTTCAAAACATAACAACAACAAATACAAGCAAAACAATAGGAGAGAATACTACTGGAACATGGCCATACAGCCTGAAAAACTCACATCAACCCAATGTTTCTGACCATGAAAGCTTCTGACAATATAAACAACTAAATTAATCAAACAACTAAAGGAAATGTGGTGGGCAAAGATGTTATCTCTTTATCCAATTTAATTTTTGCCCATTGCTATGGGAACTGTGATGGGGAACCATGTGTGGGTGAACTACCAGTACTACCTCTACCCCTATCACTCTTTTTAGTCATGTTGGCAAGGGTTGCGGAAACTACTAACCATTTCTAGAGGGCCATGGTTAATACAGTCTTATCCTAAAGCAATGTTAACTGTCTCTCAACATTTTTTTCAGGAGGACACAGCTTTCTTGGCAACTTCTTGTCTATTTCCTAAGTGCTGCTTTATATGGCCCTTAAGCCTTATAGCCTTTCCTTTTGAGCCCCAAGAAGAGATGGTGTTATTCAGGAACTGGCATATGTATTTACCAAGTAAGACGAAGATACAGGCAAGGATGGCAATGAGGGCTCCCCTGCTCAAGCTCACAGGGAGCACATAGGCTTCAGCATTGCAGGACATCACAAGACCTTTGTCATCGCAGCTGCAGACATGAATGGTTACTGTCCCCGTGCTACTCAACATGGGTCGTCCATTATCAGCTATCAGGACAGGAAGGTAAAAGGTGTTCTGCTCATGCTGCCGGAAGCCGGATCTCCTGGTTAAAATCCAAGCAGTGTTGTCTAGAATAATATAAACAAAAAGAACCCAATATTTATTTGCCATGTAAAAAACAATCAACTAGAGGGAAGGATCAATTGGGGAAGCCAGGTGGTGGATGCTCCCCCCCCCCCATGGGATGGGTTTGGAGTATGTCAGGGGATGCAGGATGTAGGTGATGGGTTCCCCTGCCAGGCAGCACCAGAGTCACTGCGATCTGTGCCGATTCTGGTGGCCAACGGGATAAAGCCGTAAGTCTCTTCAATTTACTTTTGCTTCATTGAATCCCCTAATCTTGCCTTCTTATTATTTGCTATTTTGTCTCTTTATAAATTTTACTGCTGGTAGAATAAAGCATATGCACTCTCTCTGCAAATGTCATTTAATTATCTTATCATTATTATATATCTCAGTTAAAGGTTAACTGATTAAGTTGACTGGTCCTTCTGTGGAATAATGCTGTAAGAAAAGCAGCGTAAGTTGCCAAGATACAGCACTGACAAAAACCCCCCCAAAAAACCCAGCAACATTTATATGTGATTGGAAACAAAATAAAAAGCTTGCACTTGATTATTTGATATTTGGCTGCGTCAATCTCCAATTTTCAGACCCCAAATTTTATGTGTGCAAAAATCAATCTTAAAGCAATGCTTTCTTTTTCAATCCAAGTCAACGGGGGAAAGCTGGAGACCTGGATTTCCAAAGCTGGATGGTGATTCTGAATCTAGATCAGTTCAAATTGGGTCCAGAATGATCTGGACTGAACCAAGTTGCTGAAATAGATTCCAAACTGAATACAGAATCTAGTGTTTATGTTCTCACTAAGCCCTAGGAATGAATACATTCCTCTTTATCCCAGGGATTTTGTGACACATGGGAGATAATCTGTATATGCCATTTAGTTTATGCATTTACAGTAGATCCCCTTGCTGGACAGAAATTCTTGGTGTATATAATTCAGACTTAATTCTGGAATTTAAGAGACAAGTGTAATTACACTAAACATTTTCTTGTTGTTGGAAGTTATTTTTACCACTTGGTTTTAGTGTATTTTGAAATGCAGTGCTTTGGGAAATATACACAGTACAATAATAGACAGAGGTGTAATAGCTGAATGTTATAAATGTAATGCCAGTATATCATGTCCTCTAAATGTAATGGAGGTGCCTTACTCTTTGTTCTCTTTATTAATATAGTTTAACCATGTAAACATTATAGAGTTAATACTGATGAAAAGATTATTATTAACATGTCCAATTATGTTATCTCACTTTCTCACTTGGAAAGTGCTGAACAGACTGTGCTCTGGGACCACAAGACACAGAGCCAATGGGGCTATAAAGTGGAGCCCACGACATGCAAATATGGAGAAGAGCAAACCGCAGACTACCTACTCCAATGCAAGCTGAACCCTTCCACATGCACAATGGAGGACTTTCTCGCAGCGACACCGGAGGTACTCCAGGTGGCCAGCTTCTGGTCAAAGGAAATTTGGCATAATACCAAGTTTTAACTTTGTTTGTGGTCTTTTTTGTACATTAGAACTATATTCTCAATTTGCATCTGACACAATAAATAAATCTCACTTTCCATTCCAGATTATTAGATTACGTATGGATTGGATCAAAAACGAGAGGCAGTCAAAGAAAAGAGGGCAACAATAATAAAGGAGAGAGTAAGGACTTCTTCACATGGCCACTGGGGCCGTGCCATTTTGCTGGCAAAAAGGAAGGTGTGTGGGGTGCCTCTTGGGGGCCCAGGTATCCTCCCTCTTTCTCCCATCATATGGTCGGGACAGGAAAAAGTGCGTTGACACCTTTTCCCTGTCTTCATCAGATGGGAGAAAGGGCGGCAACGTGTGTTGCCCTGTCGTCCTTTTCCCCCATCGTATGGAGAAAAGGGGAGGAAAGTGCTATATGAAAAGACACTTTCCTTTCCATTGTGGAGGAGGAAGTGTCTTGTGATGCTTCCCCTCCACTTCAGGAGGAATGTGGGCAGGGCCTGCCGAGCATTGTCTTATGATGCTCAGTACGCCCCATTGACAACTCTAAAAATGGGGCTGAAAACCCCTGTGTGAAGAGGTCAAAAGAGATTAAATTAAAATGAAAACATTTCATAAATTCAAACTGTATGACATTGCTCTTTTAAAACAAAAATAAATTATTGCTGCCCCTACACTTTGGAGAATATAGAGCTAGCTAAGTGGATGATAGATAGACATACAAATAGTTAGTTGGACACACTGTAGGTTTGATTGGCATTTAGCTTGATTTACTGACTAGTTTTCTGCTGCTTTTAGTTTTCTCACTGAGAAAAATGATAAATGATCCAATCTTGCTGGTTGCAAGAAGGTTAATTTTTCCAGCAATAGATATGTTTTCACCACCCTTAAAACTTTTTTTGACTAGCTTGATGACAGGGCAGGCATCCAGATCACCCCTACGGAAATTTCCAGACTTGTTGACAAATTGACAATTCAAGTGCAATGCATTTGTGCCAAATCTTGTTTGTGCTTGTCTCATAAGTTACCAGAGTGACTTGATGCCATAAGTATTGTTTGCAAGTAACATGATGGGATAAGACATGGATGTCACAAATCTAAAGCACTCTCATTTCTCTCCTAACAGGTCTAGGTAAAAGCCCTTCCTGTATCACATCTCTAAGGGGAGAATTGCCTTTTCACATTCAAATGGCATGAACAGTAGGTGTACTTTATGTTTAACATATCCGCATAGCTGAATAAAACACACTACAGAGAAGCGGCTTCTGCTGTGATATGTTTCCATGTGACTGTACTCATTTGCTGGTGCTTTCTAGATGTTGTCAGCTCCCATGATCTTGACCAAATGCCATATTAGTTGGGATCCATGGGAAATGGAGAATAAAAGTTGTGCAGGTAGAGGAGGGTAAGAGATAGAGGAAGGCTGCTAGGACAACGCCACCGCCTAAAAACACATGCTTTTGGTATATCAGGTTATTGATTTAACTGATGCTGCCCATAGGGCTTGTCCAGAGATCTAGTAGAAACAACCCATGTCAGACGTGGCCATCACAGAGCAGAAGCAATATGAGTAGCAACCATCCCATCTGTAAAATACTACACTGAAATGGATCCTTCTTTAGGTTGCAACCACAAAAATGTGATGCATCCACAAATATCTCTCAAGGGACCTCATCAGATGGAGGTCTTTTTCTGTTTCTATGCACTTCAAAGATGGAATTCCATAGATTCCATCAAAAGGTACAAGACCTGCTTCTACAAGACAGCATGCAGAAATGGTAGGATTTGAAAGATGTGGAGGAATCAACTCCACTTCTCTCTTTGCATGTAAAAAATGTGTATTTTCCCCTTATGATGGGAAGTGGCAGATTTGCCCATTTGTACCACATTTTGTGATGTTTCAATGTGGGTGTTTATGTGGTTGGTCAGCTAATGTTCCTCAATGCTCCTTCTGTCACCATTAGTGGTTTAAGAACAGAAGAAAGAAGTGGTTAAAAGTGTGCTGGTCCCTATGAAGTGGGAGAAGTCAACATCCACTAGTGTGATGGAAATGAAGTGAATGGTTGAGCTAGAAATGAGAGGAGGCAACCCTGTGTGATGGGGGTGAGCAAATTTTCCATCTTCTTTAAAGATGGAACACTATGGAATGCCACTTGAAGACGATTCCACCCACTTTCCCCCCTTGTAAGATGAGGTCCTTAAACATTGTTTAGATCAGGGGTCCTCAAACTTTTTAAAGAGAGGACCATGTCACAGTCCCTCAAACTGTTGGAGGGCCAGATTACAATTTGGAAAAAAAAACCTGAATGAATTCCTATGCACATTGCACATATCTTATTTTTAGTGCAGAAAACACTTAAAAACAATACAATAATTAAAATGAATAATTTTAACAAATATTAAACTTATCAGTATTTCAATGGGAAGTGTGGGTCTGCTTTAGGCTGATGAGATAGGATTGTTGTTGTTGTGTGCTTTCAAGTCATTTCAGACTTAGGTTGACCCTGAGCGAGGGCTGGGTAAATGACCTTGTAGGGCCTTATCTGGCCCTCGGGCCTTAGTTTGAGGACCCCTGGTTTAGATACATAGACAGATTGTCAGTGTGAGCTAGAATCACCACCTTACTGATAATGAAGAAGAAAATTTGTAAAATACACTCCAACAAAAGTAGTACAGGTTCAAAATACTTGGGAGTGGATGTGTTTTGGATTTCTGATTATTTTGAATTTTGGAATATCTGTATTGTTATCTTGGAGATGGGATCCAATCTTAACATGAAATTCATTTGTGTTTCATACACACCTTATACATCTAGCCTGAAGGTAATGTTATACAATATTTTAAGCAATTGTGTGCATTAAACAAAGTTTTTCATACATTGAACCATCAGAAAGCAAGGGTATCGCTATCTCAGCTACCCATGAGGACAATTTCAAATTTTGAAGTAATTCGGATTTCAGAAATTGGGATTCGAACTATGTAATTCTCCTGATGTTGTTGGATTGATGCTTCCAGCGTTCCTTTCTGTTGGCTCAGCTGGGAGTTGCAGTCCAGGCTGATCTGGAGCAGCCCATGTCTACCTTGTAGTAAATGAACATTAGAGTAAAACCAGTTTATCACTAAATACATGTGTAAAATTGTTATTATTATTTATACTCCACTTTATCTCTCTTGAAGGAGACGCAAAGATGCTATTCTTCTCACTGATAGAATGCATGTACTTGAAGACTACTTTGACAATGAAGAACAATGCATAGCAACGTAGTTACTGCTGTCACTCGCAATTACCCTATACATTGACTGAAATGGACTGAGATTTTATAAAAGAACATCTGATGCTGAGAATTTTCTCCATCTCTCTCTCTCTCATTCTCTTTCTTTCTAGCATGATGCCTCCAGGGTTAAGTGAGCCTGGATCAGCAAAGGTTGCAGCAATGATTTCTTTCAACTTCATCAGCAATGCTTGTTCAAAAGAGGAAGACAAGGTCAGAGTGTGTTGTAACAAGGCAATGCCCTGGAAAACTTGGCAGCTGTTTCCCAATAACTGATATGAGCAGTTTCCAGCTATAATATGTTGATGTGAGACGACATTATTGTCTTTCAAAGTTGTGTTCTTTTAAAACACTCCTATTTTGTCAGCACAGACATCTAAAAGAATTTTACTTCTCAAAAATTGTCAGTGCAGACCCCCCACCCCTGCCCTAACACACAAAAGACTTCAGGGCTTTGGCTAAGGTTGTCTTCCAGAGCTCGGGGGGGGGGGGGCATTGTTGGTCTACAATTCTGAGTTATTGTAGCTTATTATAATCTGGGAATTGAAATTCAAATATGTTAATTCTTATCTTCCAACAGTCCTGATATGGTAGAAGTGATCCAAATTAATCCCTTGCCATCTCACTTTCCCACCAGCTTTTAAAATGTGCCTGTCACTTTCCTTCATTGCCTAAGTCTTACTACCATTTCTGCAAACTGAGTACAAAGCACAAAAGTATTTTGCTTTGAATTAACTCAGTAGGAGGAGAGGAGAGAAGGGGGCAGAATCTTGCTTTGACCTATAGACTTAATTGCTGCAGTCTCTCTTACCTTATGGGTCCTTCCTCCTTAATAACTATTGCCATCTGATATTACTTGACCTGTGTAGATCAGCCCTTTGTAAAGCAATTGCAGTAATCAGATGCTAAGGTGGGGACAGCACTGACAATCATTCTTCCTAACCCCCTGTCATTTCCTTCTCTTGGATGACAAAATTGTATGTGGTTACACAGTGTGTCCAGCAATTGCCTAAACTCCAGTCTGCTGCTCATCTCCCATCAAGTTCATTGGGAAAGAAAGGTGCCATTTTGTCCGCTGTCTCGAGTTGCAAACATTCTTGGGAAGCCATGGTAAAATGTACACATGGCAGTTCTTCTCTGAGAAGAAGAAAAGGAGAGATTCTATAGTCCTCCATATCCTAATTTTGACTGCCATAAATGACCAGTCAGTGGGATGGTGTGAGTGTTGGAGGAAAAGTGTTGTCCTTTATCATGCAAGATCATGCGTTTTGTTCACAGTGTGAGGAACTAACCAGGATGAAATCCATGCAATGATGGGCCCTTTCACACAGCCCTATATCCCAAAATATCAAGGCAGGAAATCCCACAGTATCTGAGGGCCCTTCCACACAGCCCTATATTCCTGAATATCAAGGCAGAAAATCCCACATTACTTAAGGGTGGACTCAGATAACTCAGTTCAAAGCAGATATTGTGGGATTTTCTGCCTTGATATTCTGGAATATAGGGCTGCGTGGAAGGGCCCTGTATGCGGACTCAGATAATCCAGTCCGGATCCAGACAGGCCCTAATCTCGGGAGAACCCGCATCTGAAAAATGTGGATTTTCCCGGGGACCTGTCCACACTCACCCAGAAAGTGCGCACAATTTTCCTCCCCCCCCCCCGACTCTACTGGGGCATCATTTCTACATGCTGGGAGAGCTGCTCGAAGCCTGTAATAGAGGCTGGGTAAGTTTTCATTATTTTTCAAAGGCATCTGGGGGCTTCGGGGGAGGGGGGTGGGCATTCCCACAGTTTACTGGGCTTATTTAGCCCGGTAAACTGTGGGAATAGTGTCTGGACTGTAGTCCAGACACCAGAAATAGTGCATTTATCTTGTGCCTTCCAAGAAGGTTTTCCTGGTTTGTGCCAAATTAATTGGACAGCCCCCCTTTTTTTGCGGAAGTTTCCACAATAAAGGGGCTGTCTGGATGGGGCCCCAGTTCAAAGCAAATATTGTGGGATTTCCAGCCTTGATATCCTGGGATAGTGGGCTGTTTGGAAGGGCCCACAGCCAAAGTCAAATCAGTCTCACTTCCTATATAGATTGATACAGATAATAACAGTAATGTGGTCCCATGTTTTGGCAACTTTTCTTCCTTTAGGTAACATCTAAATTAAGCCTCATTTTAGCTGATCCTCAAGTATATGGCTTGTATGAGAGTGTTGAGATCTCAAGTAGTTTTTATTTGAGAACATCATTGGTCTGATCCAGTTACACAAATCTTAATGTATCAAAAAAATTTTATTCTCTTAAATTCTTATTGTCATCTCTAATATGAGAACATATATTTCTCTCTAAAATGTTGGAAAACTTCCTAAACCTTCTGTATCCAGTTTTTTGTGGTTCCTTGTGGTTCCTTGCAAAATCATCCCTTTAAGTCTATCCCCCTTAAAAACAACAACAAAACCCTGCCTGTTACCTATGTGGCAAATGTACTTCCATATGAAGTCATTTACATTTTAATTAAATTGAGGAGACATTAGCTAATAGCAAGGAAGGAAAAGAAACAAGTAAAATATCAAGAAAATGTAATTCTATTTGCTTTAGGATCTCTCCCTCCCGCTTTCTCTGGCCCCTTCTACACTGAATAAAATCCCACATTATGTGCTTTGAACTGGGATATATGGCAGTGTGGACTCAGATATTCCAGTTCAAAGAAGATATTGTGGGTGATTCTGCCTTAATATTCTGGGTTATATGGCTATATGGAAAGGCCCTCTCTCTCTCCCTGAACCTCCCTATAAACTTAGATTACAAAATGAGCAAAATTATAACCCTCCAATCATCCCTCCAGTCCATTTCTTAACCTGACCTTTAAAGCATTTTGAGCAGAATCCCATTCACAAACAATGCCCCCAGCATGACACCAAGGGCTTGGATTTGCATAGCATTGGCATACTTCTTCCAAATAAAAGAACCTGTCACTGGGAAATATGTACACAGGCGCAAATTCTGTGTAACTGTTCAAAGTGTAAAATAATATGTCATTTCATTGCTGCCTTTAAGAAGCAGGTGTCACTTGGCATTACTTGCAATGGCAATCTCATGACGTAGTGTTAAGCCAGAGCCGCTCAAGTTGAACTCATTGCAGAAGACATTAGTTAGCAAAACAAATGGGTGTCCACTCCAATTACCTTGATTGTCCCTTAGAGTAAAATTGGGGTTGTTAGCTGCCTCAGGAGCCAAGCTATAGTAGAAGTGTTGTCCCTCCTGTGGGTCATCCTGGTCTACCGCACTTACTGTCTGAATCAGCTGTAGAACAGAAGAGCAAAACAAAGAGATTGATGACAGCTCCAGTGGAGGGAGAAAACAGCTTTCAAGGATTAGATTGAAAACAAAACAAGACTAGCTTTTCAACAGCAACATCTTGCACAGCGAGCAGAGATCCATGGAGACAATCAGAATGCTGTGGGGAATCAGTAGTTAGTAATGGATAAACAAGACGGATAAAGTAATCCATATTTGAGATGGCCAAGTTCATTGAAGGACATATTCAGGTGGCCCATACATACTTCAACAGTACAACTCTGCAGAACATCCTGAGTTCATCCACTTCCATCTCCAACAGAGAGTAGCACAGATAACAGGATCAGGAAAGAACTCCATCTAAATTTATAGGGAGATGATGTCACTCCAGGCTTGCTGGCTTGACCACGATGTCTGAGCAGTTTTAATTTTCCATGTAAATAGTTCTGGAAGTCCTGACTCAACATTTTTATTCTATGATCAAATTTTGAATTTAAGTAGTCTACTGAAAAAAGAGGAACCATGGGCTGATTTTTCCCAAATAATAAACAAGTCATCTTTTGAGTATCTTGAGATATGTCTCTGTGAATTTTATTGGATGCGCCCCAGGTTTTTCTTTTCTTGTTTTCCCTGCAGAATTTATTTATTACATAAATAAATTTTATTTATGTCCCCCCAAAGGGGGACTCAGGGTGGCATCACATAAGCATCATGTGATGCTATCAACAAATAAACAACAAGGGTTACAATTAAAACAGTAAAATCATTAAAATGCATTATACAGATTCATTATACAAATGCATTATACAGATTCATTACCAAGTTCATTAAACAATAAAAGAAAAGTGAAACAGGGCTAAAGAAGAGTGTTAATGAAGAAAGAGCACAGTTTAGGCCCTTTCTACACAGCTGTATAAAATCCAGATTATCTGCTTTGGACTGGATTATCTGGCAGTGTAGATTTAGGGCCCTTTCACAAAGCCATATAACACAAAATATCAAGGCAGAAAATCCCACAATATCTGCTTTGAACTAAGTTATCTGAATCCACATTGTCATATAATTCAGTTCAATGTGGTGTTTATACAGCTGTGTGGAAGGGGCCTCAGATAATCCAGTTCAAAGCAATGTGGATTATCTGTCTTGATATTCTGGATCATATGGCAGTGTAGAATAGCCCTTATAGATTCCAACCAGTAACGTGGGTAGGCATCATTTACCGCTCCCTCCAACAACCTATACCAATGTGCCCAAAATGATACCACATCCCTTTTGGTTTTGAAACTAGCTGAGTTTTAAAAAAAGGTGTACAGATATGTTAGGTTGTGCAAACTACTGTGTTTACAGCAGCTGATTTTGAGCCTGGGAGGAGGTGTCATCTGAGCCGTTGTTGGGTCTGGTGCTTGAGGAGGTTAGAGGCCACACGTTGTGACTAAGAGATGACTGGTGGTTATCACTTGGTTCACCTCGGTGTCAAATTAGCAACATAATCAAATCCTGCCTGCAACCAATGCTTGAATATTAACACTGGAAGACAAAACAGCATAATATTTCAGCCACAATCCTTCACCCTCCCCCTTGGATGTTAAGCAAAGTTCTTCACTTTTGTATCAAATTCCTTGCATAAATTTATACTGAATTTTAATTTGAAAAGTATCTCACTGGGTTCAGAACAACAAACCTACCTCCAAATGGGAATTTACTTACATGAGACAAGAGACATATCTCAAAATGTTCAGAAGATGGTTGCTTTACTAACAGAAAACCCCAATGCTATAAAGCCTTGGAGATCATATCTCAGCTTTTTGATTCCCAAATGCCAGGATGTTACTTTTGAACAAATTAAGGGAATTGGTGATAGCAGCAAAGCATGTTTGCATTTTTCATATTCCACCTGAGACTCCAACTCTTATTTTTCTGGTTAGTCCTTCCCTTGAAACTTGTGGTTATTTCAGGGAGTGCAAGAACATAGGATCATTATATTTTTGCTGTACTGAATGATGAAAAGGAATAACGTTCTGGCTAATAATTGAACTGAAATACTTAAAAAGCTGATTGTTTTATAGATTAAAGGACCTGATTTAAGAATCGCATTAAAGAAATGGAATGAGTCAATAGTCCAGTGGGAGTATTTTGAGGTGATACACAGACAAAGGCAACAAACAAAAATAAAAAGGTTTGAGGCCTTTCCTCTGATGTCTGTTACACTAAGAAAATTATAAAAATTGGTTGCATTTGTTGATAAAGGAATTCCCTTTAAGAAAAGAAAGTAGAGCTATGCCTTCTGTGAGAATCACCCTATTGCAGTCTAACTTGACCTCACCAGTATTGCATCAGGAGAAACCTGGAAGAATAACTCTGATTTTCTTAATATTGCATTTAAATTTCCTTGGAGTGCAGTGTAGCAGATCTTCAAATACTCCAGTCCAGCCTCTATCTTTCTTTATTGGCTAAGACCATTAAGTGAGGTATCTGCACAGCTTGTGGTGTTGGTTTTGCCCACCCACCTTTTTTCTTCACTTCTTACCTGTCCAGCTTTTGCATTTTCACACACAAAGGCCTCATAGAACCTGGGAAATTCTGGAGCATTGTCATTCACATCCAGGATTCTTATTGTGACGGAAACACTGCCGACATGTGAAGGATTGTCTGAAAGAAGGTAGAGCAAATTAAAACCAGAGAAATCTGATCTTGGCCTAAATTAATCCTGGGAGTGTCAATTACATTGCAAATTTGAGTGAAGAAAACACTCCCTAAGAAGAGCAGGTGGGCAAGTGGCATGTTAAAATATACAGCTAGAAATCTTGAGGCCCTGATTTAATCATTTATGTGTACTTGGAAACTTTCTAGCCTAGTATAGAAAATACATATTGCATTTACTTCTACAACTTTAGATTGAATTGTCAAGAGATGATGATATTTATTTATATCCTGCTTTTTCTCTCCACAAAGAGACACAAAGGAGACACAAAGCGGCTAATATTAAAAGCATTTCAATACAATTTTAAAATATACAAATGCTATTTGTTGATTTATTTTGATTAAGTTTGGCTGGTCAAGTTACTTTCCAGATGGTGCTGGACTGCAATTTCAATTATCCCTATCCATCATAGCCAATGGTAGGGGTCCATAGAACCTTCAGTTCAATAACATTTGGATCCACTCCTGGCTTAGACTGAGAGCATTTTGGCATTGATAACATCCTCTAACACAATAAAGTTGCTGTGATTAGATGGTATTGATGGTATTGTAACAAACACCTGAATATAGCAGAAAATTAATGTCACCTTCAGAGATGTTCATATCAGATAGCTAGTACATATAAGAATTGCATGGTGTTATCAATGGTCATACACTCAGGAACTCATCACATTGAGGCCAGGATTTGCCACACATTGTGATGAATCTGGCAGGTCCTGGTGGGTGGCTGGGGGAACCTGTCACCCACATTGCCTGTCTTGCCCCTCACCTTAACCTATGGCGAGGGGAAACATTGCCACTTGTCTCTCTGTTGTTTCCTATGCAACACAGGAAGCCTCCCATGTTGCTGGCACTGCCTCTTACAACACTTCAACTTCACTTGAGGCATGGAGCCCACTGGAGGTAGACTAACATCATGTGATGGGAGCCAATGGGCTCTGTGCCTCAAATGAAGTGTCGTAGGACAGGCAGTTTTACCCGTCTGATGAGGTTGTAAGTGGGAATGCTAATTTTACATACTAGAATCTCTACACCATTCAACTATATGAGCAACTATTATGATGTAACCTATGATAATAGTTAAAGAAAAGGAACTAGGTAATTATAGAACACTTATTTATTATTTATTTGGGGTTCTTATACCCCGCCCTTCTCACCCCGAAGGGGACTCAGGGCGGCTTACAGGAGCAAGGCACGATTTAATGCCTGCGTCATAAACAATCATACACAAATTTGCATAAAATTACAACAATTCACAGATGACATGCATGCAATATAACCATAAAATCAATAAAATCATTAAAACCAAATACAAACCCAGTTTTTCCTCTTACATGGTCAGTGTTTGTTAAGACCTAGATCTAGATTTTCGTTCCATTCAACCATCCTGCTGGTCTTACTTGCCTGATTGAGTGATTTAATTACCAGAGTGCCCAAAGGCCTGGTCCCATAACCAAGTTTTCACCCTCCTCCTGAAGGCTAGGAGGGATGATGATGCCCTAATCTCCCCCGGGAGTGAGTTCCACAGGTGGGGGGCCACCACCAAGAAAGCCCTGCCCCTCGTCCCCACCAGCCTCACTTGTGACAGTGGTGGGGTCGAGAGCAGGGCCTCCCCGGATGATCTCAAACTTCGGGGTGGGACATAGAGGGAGATACGTTCGGACAGATACATGCATTGGTCATGGCAATAGGGGTCACATTGAGGTGCTGATTCATATAAGGGTCTCTTCCACACAATTTTTGCTAGGCTAGCACCTTGTCACAAGCTATGTCAACTTCAATAAATATGCAATTAAAAAGGTGCCAGAATGTGTCTGTCTGAGTCAGTCTTTGTTTGTTTCAATTTCAGATTAGAAACAATTTGCTTCACACAAAATGTCATGGTGTGACATGATGTAGCCATGCCACAAGTTTCCACTTCACAAAGCAATGCCATCATATCCCACTATGAATCTGACTAGATGATGTTATGTGGAAATAGCCAGGAATAGGTGTGCCATTTTTGATGTGCCTGATGTTTAAAAAACATGTCTAGATTCCCTCTCCCTTTGTTTTCAGCAAATCGACTGTGTGATGGGATAGAATATAGCAAAATATTGGAGAAAAAAACATGTTTTTGAGTGCTGAGAGGCTGTGATAAGAAAAATCCTAGATTGGTGATAATCTCTGCAATTGAGACTTTATTCTACACAAATCTGCATGTGACTATTTTGTGCCAGAAGCAGAATTTTCTGTGCGCAAAGCAATACTTATGTGCAGAAAGAGCTGTTTCTTTCCAGAAAATTCTTTTTTTCCATGCCAATCAAACATAGACAAATTTTGCATAAAAATATTTTCTGCACAGAGAATTTTTTTTTTACAGCAGAATAAATTTTTGTTAGTTTTTGGTACAAAACTAACATTTGCAAATTTTTCACAGAATAAGTTCTAAATTGTGAAAAACTGTGTTTTTAAAAAATACTTTTTCTGAGGAGGAAATAATTTGCTATGTTTACTTGTCATTTCCTTTGAGAAGAAAATCAGTGAAAAAGTACATCACAATGTCAATGTCAAGGATGGGATGAGATAGAGAAACTCATGGCATTTTGTTATTCTGAGTTACAGGGAAGATGATGAGTTCCCCAAGTTAAAAAAAGTTCTGTTTTGTTGACCCCTATCTCTTTTGCTAGAACATCGCATGCCATGCCCAGTATTTCATAAACTCAACCTTTGGCCTGAATGGATGCAGAGGGTTATACTTAGAAATGCCAAAGTAGTTCTAAAGTGACAATGACCCCAAACTTAGTTTTGAAACAGCATATCTGAGAAGCTGGTAAGCAGCGTTTTCTGCCCTAAGCAAGATTTATTACAAAATCATTTCTACAGGACACTATATAAGAAACATAAAAGTAAGCAGATGGTCACGACAGTCACTTTCTACTGGCTCAAGGAGGGTTTGAACCAGTGACCTAGAAGTGAAAGGCTCTCAGCTCATTAGCAATTCCCTAAGCCATCCAATCCTCCTTGATAATGCTGCTCTCTACTCTGATAAGCCCTGCAATATTCACAGCATCTGTTTTTGCTACTAATATTCCTGATATGTGTGTGTATGCATGCACGAGCATGTACTAGTTCTTATCTAAGCTGCTCCCTCCCCTCAAAGGGGGGGGGGAGAACTTAAAGAATGTGACTCTCCTGAATATTAATGTTAACAATTTAAGTAAGCAAATGCTTCTCTTTTCATTTGCAGAACCCCTCAAGAACAACTAGTTTCATTCTCCGAATTGGACGCAAAATGTGGCTTGTACTGTAGTGCATCTAAATATGCATTCCTTATGGCATTCCTTATGGCAGTTTTAGCCACAGTTAAAAGACTGACAACCGAGCAGAGGGTTTCTGTGTTTAAATACAGTATTAACCCCTTGTCCCCAGATTCAATGTGCGTGGCTTCATTACCCACACTTCAAAAATATTTCCTCTTGAAAGTGTTTGTGGGCCTCTCCATGACTTTCAGTGTGATTCTATGGTATGTTTCTGGCACAAGCATAGTCAAAATATGGGGTTTACTATTCTCTCCATCCTCTTGAAACCACTACTGTGGGCATGGGAAGTTGAGAATGCAGAGGATGATGGGAGATTGCTCCAAATTTGCTGCAAACATTTTCACTTCTGTCCATTGGAGGTAGAACACAAATCCAACACAGTGTCTTCTTTAACTGCACCTTAGGCAAGTAAAGTGATTTTTCCCCTCTCCAAGATGGAAAAGGGAAGGGTGGATGGCATTCACAATCTGCAATCTCCCCTCAGCCCCTTAAGTGCCATTAACTGGGATCCAGTATATGCATATATTACACATTGCAGTGGGGATGGATCTGAAAGACTCTTTAAGTACACTCTTTTTGCTTTATGTGTATAATAAAAATTGTTTTCCCTACAAAAGGTTAACATCTATTATTTAAACATAAGCTGAATCTCTTGGGAAGACAAGCAGACCAACATCAGCGTGCTGGAAGAAGCAAAGACCACCAGCATTGAAGCGATGGTACTCCGCTGGACCGGCCACATTGTCTGGATGCCCAACCACCATCTCCTAAAGCAGTTGCTCTACTCTGAACTCAAGAATGGAAAACAGAATGTTGGTGGGCAGGAAAAGAGATTTAAAGATGGGCTCAGAGCCAACCTTAAAACTTCTGGCATAGACACCGAGAATTGGGAAGCCCTGGCCCTTGAGCGCTCCAGCTGGAGGTCAGCTGTGACCAGCAGTGCTGTAGAATTTGAAGAAGCCTGAATGGACAAAAGAGAAAAATGTGCCAAGAGGAAGGCGTGTCAAGCCAACCCTGACCAAGACCGCCTTCCACCTGGAAACCAATACCCTCTCTGTGGGAGAAGATGCAGATCAAGAATAGGGCTCCACAGTCACCTATGTACCCATCGCCAGTACACCTAACTTGGAAGACAATCCTACTCGGACAATGAGGGATCTCCTAAGTAAGTAAGTAAGTAAGTAAGTAAGTAAGAAATCCTGTTGATTTCTTCCAACCAGAGAACAATCATTTATTGAATGGTGAGTCAACATGTAGGTAAATTTCAGTGATTCAATGGGTGTAGTCTAGTCAGGATTAACAACCAAATCTAGACCATAATTTGAAACCAAATCTAGACCATAATTTGAAATATTAATACACAAATAGATACAAGGAAGGATCTAGCTAGGATATATAGGGCATTCTGGGTGTGCCAGTGTGTTTATTTCGGTTGCCTACAATGCTGCAATTGTTCCCCTTGACTTTCCTCCTTGAAATCTGCTCCACAAGGTTGCAAAAATGCAAGGGTGCCGAAAATCTCAGTACTACTGCCTATATTATGCTGGATTTTGGTTATCATATGAAACAGTTCTTAGAAACCAATAACATAACATTAAAAAAGGAGGATTGTGATGGAATCAATGATACATCCTGGTCAGCTGAAATGTCTGAAATTAATCTTTCAACCCGGGCTACACCATCCATTCTTATTTCATCCATGATTGTAATTTGCCTTACTCAGCTCATGAGCCAGCACAGTGATATTGTGCCACGAAATATCTTCCCGATCCAGTGGTCGTGCAGTCATCAGAGCCCCTGTTGCAATGTCAACGTAGAAGAAACGCCCAGGATCGCTGTTTCGATCAATGGAGTATCTGTGAAAAGGGTACATTTAGATGCCATTATTTTCAGGGAGCTATACTGTTGGAAAATGTGGGTTCAGTTCACTTTCATTCAAATATATGTTTTTCATTCTCTGGTTTTGTTCCAGTTCAGATACTAACTGAAATATGTAGTTTGATTACTGCCTCAGCAGAATAATCCCAAATGATATCACTTGTGTTGCTGCTGCTGCCATTTCTGTCTTATGGCCCTCCTATGGCAAACTTATCACAGGGTACTCTTGTTAGAATTCATTCGGAGGGAGTTTGCCTTTGCCTGCCTCTGAAACAGAGTGTGTGACTTGTCCAACGTCATCCAGTGGGTTTCCATGGTCAAATGTCTGCAGAACTATAGTTTAGCATTCAAACCACTACAACATATTAGCTCTCTAAATAGTATTTTAATACTGACTAATGTAACAGGAATGAAGAAAAGCAATTTTAATTTTCTGTTATAGTATCATGTTTCTCCAGGCCCTAAGGAACTTGCATAATGCTGTGTTGCACTTTTACTTGGAATATTGTGTAGACTTCTATTTTATCTCCAAAAGACAAAAAGAATCAGAAGAAATAAAATCAATTACAGAAACTAATGTGATCAGGTGTCTACAGACTATACCAGAAGTTTGGGGACTTTTTACTTTTTCATTTTAGTTTAGCAAAATAACCATAATGCAATTTTTTTAAAACAAATATGAATAACTGGAAAGCACAGATTGTGTTCCTATACTAATATATTTGGGCATATGCAAGCATTTTACACATTTGCATAGTTTCCAGACAGACAGTATGTACTTCGTACTATATGCAGTTCGAAAACATAATTATTGCATGTTCTCCAACCAATATCAGAGTTTGGCCAAGGTGTCAAATGTTATTAATGATGAAGAACAAATGAGTGAGAAAATGCTGAAGCAGTTTACTTTTGCACCTTGAATTCAGTTTACAGCAACTTAAAAGTAAACTCAAAACAAAGAGGGGAAGTGAGAAGTGGAGTAAGAAACTAGGACATTTTGAAAGCAGTTGGAAAAGTGAGATGAGAGAGGATTAAGAAGGCTTTTGAGGAAGGACAGTTGGAGAGTTGGGCATCATCCAGCTAAAGCAGTGGTTCCCAATCTTTCGTCCTCCAGATGTTTTGGACTTCAAAACAGCTGGTAACCTGGCTGGGATTTCTGGGAGCTGGAATCTAAAAAAATGAGAGGAGCAAAGGTTGGGAACTACTGAGCTAAAGAAAAGGAAGTCCCAGTAAACTCAGGGGATATACTTCTGCATAAAGACTGGAAAGCTGAAATCCTACACTAATTTAGAATTACTGAGTTGAAGGTCATCTTCTCCAACCTCCCCAATGCAGAAAATATACTACTACAGCTGCTTAGAAAGCATTAATGAGGGAGAGTTTGTCACGTTCCAAGAAAGCCCCATCAAATGTGATGGGACTTTCTTAAGAATGAATATGTATAGGGATTATTCTGACATTGTATAATTAATTTTTGCAACTGGGTCATGGCCTCTGTCTTAAATGGCATTTGAAAGAATGAGACAGGATAGCTAAAGGGAACCTCAAATTTATGTCTCTGATTACAAGGCCTGTAATTGGGGATGCATCTCACCCTGATAGCCTTTCTGTGAGCTTCTGGAAAAAGAATGCTAAACTTGATATTTATAGATGCACAACACAACAATTCATTGTTATGTTCATTTTTGCAAAGACAGGACCGGAGACTGATGGATGGTGGTGGTACAAATTATTAAGGCAGACCAGAAGCTGTGTTGCACACAATTTAGTATTTATTGAGAACATTATTATTTGATAAGTGTTTTTTGACAGCAACTATAAACATGTATGAATTTTAAGGAAGGAAATAATGATATATTACTATTTATATATACTATTATATTATTATCTGCATTACATGCTATTAAAGAGGTTTAGTTAGTCTGCCCTTGCTGCGAGAGAGAGCACAATTCTGGCCTAAGTGAGGAGAAAAAGCTGGAGGTGAACAAAGTGATGCGGTAGTTCCTATGAAAGGGAAAAAGGGTGGATGCAGGTATTTGAACAAAGGTTTGAAGATAAAATGAAAGATTTCCAATGAAGGAGATCGCATAGGTAATTAGCCCCCTTGTGGGCACATCTGCCTAGAAGAGGAAGAAGACCTCTAATTTCACAATCTGGGCAAGCAGATCTCTCAAGTCTTTGCCAAGTCCTCTTCCTCTACCAGGAAGTTTTGAACATCTCCTATCTGGCTTGGAATAGCCACCAAAGACGGGTGATAGTGCTATTAATGTGGAAGGATGGTAGTTCCCAAGTTAAAAAGTCAATTTGGGCAGATATTTGTGGCTAGCGGAGTGTGGAGGTGACTGTGTTTTTCCACTCACTACAAAAATTTGATAGACCTTGACTGAATAAGCAAACTTCTGGGCACTAGAAAAACTCTAGTCTTGGTGGCCTTGCTTACTTGTGGTCCAATAATAGCTGCATTATTTCAACCCCTGCACTAGGGCACTGCTTTTTTGAACTGCGCATTGTGGACTCTGCAGAAGATGCTTCAGCTGTGCTTTATAAAAAGAAAAATCAGCTTGTTTAGCAAGCAAGACAAATGCTGATTTCTTATCAGTAAATGTTTGGTTTTTATACCTATCTAGACACCAGGAACTCTATGTTTCTCCTGTACATCTCAGACTTCAAGTCCCAGCAAACAGGGCAAATGGTAAGGGACTGGGGCAAATGAAGTTCAAAACCCCTGGAAGGCCTTCTTCTCCTAACCTTCCTTGGGTGGTATGTGTGGAAACATTTTCATTTTTGGCCTGTCTAGGGCAGGAAGACAGTAGGGTTCAAAAATGAGCTGACTACTTTCAACCAGTCACCTTTTTCTTTTGTTTAGACAGCTACTTTCAGTTCAGATTACTTGCAATGGAGGTATTTTAGGTTTAGGTTAGTAAAGAAAACAACAACACAACAATATGGAATTACTCAGTTAAGTGATTTAGGTTTGAGTCAGGTTTTGTTTTGTTGCTTGCATTGCAGCTTGTTCACCATTACAAGCAAGAGAGACATTGCTACTCCATGCATGTCCAGAACTTTTATATAAACTTAAATGTCTTCACTGTTGGTCTACTTCTCCCAATTCCATTCATCCAGTGTTAAATAGTTTTAACTATCAGGAATGATAGTAAGTTTTGTTGCTGATTAGTGGAAGAATAAGCAATACGAGTATGTTCAGACGGTCATGGAGGTATTGTACTGCCAGAAATTAACATTCAGAACTTCATCCTGCTCCTAACAATGAAGTCAGGAAAACTTTCAATTATCCTAATAGTTCAGTATTAAAAAGTACCAAGTCCCATGACATTTAATAGATTTTCTTATTTAAGAAATAGAGGGACTCTTAATTTAATCTGAATCATATGAACATAAACATTTCCAGTGATCTTCTGTTAAATCTTTTCAAAAGTAAAATATTACCAAATTGGATAACAAAGAGGCATTCAAGTAGAAACAAACAGCTAAGATTAGAATACTTAGCTCTGGAGCCAGAGTTATACCATGTCTCCCGGGTCATCAGTTGGGAACCACTTGCTCCAGCAACAATAAAGTAAAATATAATACTAATATTGTGCTGTGCTATTATAATAATAATATTCATTATTTATTTATTTACTATATGTGTATACCGCCCGCAGGCACCTCGAGGTGATTTATAGTCGGCAGGCAATGCCCCCAACAACATAAAATACAGTTAAAAACATTACATATAATATAAACCATATAAAAGCAACAAACCAATAAAAACCATAAAGCACAAGTCCTCAGCATCTCACCAGTAAAATCATTTTTTCATCGCACTGTCCAATCATTCCATTAATCTCAATTAGTCTATTGCACAGCGTCTGCAAACGCCTGCTGAAACAGCCAGGTTTTAACTCTCTTTCAAAATGTTAGGAGGGAGGGGGCCAATCTGATATCCTTAGGGAGGATGTTCCATAGCTAAGGGGCCACCGTTAAGAAGTCCCTGTCTCTTGTTCCCGCCAATTGCATCTGCGAAGGAGGCAGGACTGAGAGCAGGACCTCTCCAGACGATCTTAAGCATCTAGATGGTTCATAGGGGAATATATAGTGTACACATATCATATTGATAATATAATGTAATACAATATAATACTAATAATAATACATTATAATAATTGTATGTTTTATATTACAAGTAATACTATTAATAATATTACAGTATTTTGGTATAGTACAATATAGTAATATATAATACTAATATTGTGCTGTGCTAATAATGTAATATTGTATACACATATAATACTGCGAATATTATCATGTAATACAATATAATGTTAACAATAATACAATATAATAATTTTATATTTCATATTACATGTAATATTACTACTAATATTACAGTATAGTGGTACAGTACAATATAGTAATATATAATACTAATAGTGTGCTATGCTAATAATATAATATATTGCATATACATATAACTTGTAAGCTGCTCTGAGTCCCCTTTGTCACAAACATTTTGAGAATAGGATATGTTTGGAAAAGGACAAGTTGGAAAGGTAAAGTCACCTGTGTTCACCTGGAGAGTAGATGCATGAGAGTTGATGCACCTCCTTCTCTTCTGGTGTATAGATGGTATATCTTTATTTATGCAACAGAGAAACTTTCAGGTTCAAAAAAAAAGTATTCATGTTTAGCTCGGGGAGTTTAACTCCAGTCCAGAGTATGCTAGGGACAGCTGCCTTTGGCACTGACACCAATCCTCCCCCTCGTGCAAGTAAATTGTTAATGGCATAATGAGGACATTCCACATCCAGATCTCAACACAGCCATGATGGCTGGGAGAATTTAGAGGACCTTCTCCTAATCCAGCAAGGTGAATCAGCTGCTTCAGGCAGAGGATTTGAGTGTCACAAAAGCACTGCAAAATGTGAGATTCATGTGCTGCAACAACTTGCCTTTGTGTACTATGAACAGTGAGCTC